TGAAATATCGGGGCGAGTGTTGACCGAAGCATACATCAAGCTCCCCACCATTGACTGGAACCGACGCTGCAACTCGGGCTCCAACACCTCACCCTCCTCTTCATCAAGGTGTAGCTGAAACCCTGAGGGTAGAGGAGTCTTCACACTCCTCCCTTCCTCCAGCCCATACCTCTCCCCTATGGCTGCAAGGTACTTGTGTTGGTGAAGCCTCAACCATCCCTTCACCTCGTCCCGCTCCACGTGAAGACCAAGGTAATACCCCACCGGTCCAAGGGCCTTGCATTGAAAGGTCTCCTTCAGCTTCCCTTGCACCTCCTTGATCCTCTCTAGAGATGGAGAGAAGAGGAGAATGTCATCGACATAGACAAGGAGAAACACCTTCTCCTCCTCCCCCTCGGTCATGAAGAGACTCTCGTCGCACCCGCTGACTTTGAAGCCAAGAGCCTCCAACGCCTCCATCAGCCTTGCATACCAGCACCTTGGAGTTTTTTGAGGCCATAGATGGCCTTGTTGAGCCTGCAAACACGTCCGCTCCCATCGTCGTACCCCTCTGGCTGCTTCATGTAGATCTCCTCATCTACCACGCCATAGAGGAAAGCCGTCTTCACATCCATTTGCTCCACCTTCCAACCACAAACGGCAGCTGCTGCTAGCAACACCCGGAGCGTAGGAGCCTTGGCAACAGGAGCAAACACCTCCTTAAAGTCAACCCCCTCCCTCTGCTGGAAACCCTTGATCACAAGTCTTGTTTTTCGCCTCTCCAACTTCCCCTCTGCATCGGTCTTCACACGTAATATCCACGTGCAATCCAATGCCTTTCTTCCCGGGGGCAGATCAGTGAGGGTCCATGTTCCATTCTCCATGAGGCTCTGAAACTCATCCTCCCTTGAAGCCAACCAAGCCTCTCGATCATCTCCAGCAAGTGCTTCCTCCATTGAAGCTGGTTCATGAGGTAAGTTGACACCGAAGCAACAAATCTGCTCCATCTCTCCCTCGGCTCCCTTCTCATCATCTTCCTCCTCCTGGACCAGCAATGCCTTGGGACCCCCAAGCCTTTCATACTTGAGGAAATCCCTTGGGTGAGCAGCTCTCTTGGGCCTCTCCTTGGCTGCACCCTCCTTAGCTCCACCGCGGACAGCACCACGCTTCCCTTGGGTTGTCCGCCTTGGTGGAAGTGAAGGGGATGGTGTAGGCTGCTGCACCTTCTCCCCGGCAGCACCTCTCTCAGCTACAGGGGCCGCCTCTTGCTGCAACACTCCCTCCACCTCTGCTGCCTCCCCTTCAGCACCTCCCAAGTCATGTGACACCTCCGTTACCTCTGAAGATGAAGACAACTCGATGGGAATGAGGAGTGGGTCATTCGTTCCCACCTCTATTCCGAGCGGAATGGTGACCTTGCTCCTCCCTCGCTCCAACCACTCCTTGAACATGAGCCCCTCCATGAACTTGGCATCTCTGGTGGTGAAGATGGTGTTGGCTTTTGGGTCCCACATGAGCCACCCCTTGCTCCCTTGTGCAAGTCCCAAATGAACAGCCCACACCGCCGTCGCTTGAAGCTTGTCACGCTTCTCCTTAGGGACGTGCACGAGTCCCATGCACCCGAAGACTCGAAGCATATCCACCAAGGGCTTCTTGCCTCTCCACTTCTCCATAGGGACCCAATGCTGCCCTCCCACATGAGTCAATACTCGGTTCTTGATGACGGTGGCATGGCGAATAGCGAGGGGCCAGAATTGTAAGGGTAGACCCGAGTCTACCAACATCGTTCTCCCACCCTCCATGATGGTCCGGTTCGCTCTCTCTGCCACGCCATTGGATTGAGGAGTGTAGGCCGTGGTGAGCTGCTGCTTGATGCCGTGCCGCTTCAGCCAGCTCCGGAACTCCGCTCCCAAGAACTCCCCACCACGGTCGCTACGAATCGCCTTCACCCGCTTGCCGCTCTCTCGCTCCACCAAGGGCAGCCACTCTTCAATGATGATCCTTGCAGCATCACTTTTATTTGCAAGTGGAAAGGACCAGGTGAGCCTTGTGTTGTCATCCACCATGGTCATGGAATACAGGGCCCCACCATCTCCCTTCACCTTCATGGGTCCCACGAGATCCACATGCACGAGCTCCACCGGGTCGCCCGACTTCCCCTCCACCGAATGGAAGGGAAACCGTGAAAACTTGCTGGTCAAGCAAGTCTCACAAGATCCCACCTCCTTGGGCTCCCCCTTTATCCTCAGCCCCTTGACTCTTTCCTCCTTGAACAGCTGCTGCAACTGAGGTAGCGCCACGTGGCCAAAGCGACGGTGTGCGGTGAGCCAATCCGTCTCACCCGTGCTAGGAGTTACACTTGGTAACTCAGCCCCTCCATGCCCAAGGAGCCCACCATCACTATCATCACCACCTCCTCCATTGTCCACGTGGTTAACACGCCCTCCTCTCACACCTCCAGCAGCCAAGCGCGCAGCCGCCTCCTTCCATGGCAGCACCGGTATCTCCCACATGGACCGGTGCATGTCCTTGCCGCCTCGGAGGTCCCACAACATGCGCCCATCCAGAGTTGCCTTGAAAACCTTTGTGCCCAACATCTCCATCTTCATCCCTGCCTCACTTAGGGCCTTGGTAGAGAGGAGGTTGGCACACAATCCAGGAACAAGGAGAACACGCTTCAGCCCCACAAGCCTCCCATCCGCACCCATGAACATGGCTCTCCCCTCGCCACGCACGGGTACAACTTGGCCGGTGGCTGAAACGACGGTGGCTGCCTTTGATGGCCTAACTTCATCCAGTAGATCCTCTCGGTTGGTCATGGTCATGAAGGCTCCCGTGTCGATGACCCAATGGGAGGAGCGGTGAAGAGCAATCTTGCTGGCCGGCACAACCATGTCCTCGGGGCACGCCTCCCCTACATGGTAGAACATGCCGCCGTATCCGCCAGCACCTCCATCGCCCTCCTCACTGCCCATGCCTTCTCCCATAGCTCCATGAACACCCTTGGAGCCCTCAATTGATGGCTGACCAGGCCTCCAACCGTCAGGTAGCTTGCGGCACTTGAACCATGGGTGCCCTTCCACATGGCAATACAAACACTTGCCGCCACACCGCTTGCCTCCCTTGTTGCCACGCTTCCCTCCCGAATGCTGCTCCCCTCCAGAGCCTTCCTTGGCCTTGCCTTTCTTGCTGCCACGCCCCTTGAAGCCCTTCATGCCGTAGGCTGAACCTCCACCTTCACCGGCAGCGGCGGTCAGCTCCTTCCTCCGAAACTCCTCTTGAAGAACTTGCGCGCGAATCCACTCAAGGGACCACGAGTCCTTCATGCCATTAAGGTTGACCACCAAGGGCCCCCACGACTCCGGCAGCAGGGAGAGAGCCTTGTAGCACTTGATTTTATCAGGGTAGTCCACACCAGCAGCAGAGAGCTTCACATAGAGGTCCCTGAGTTGATCGAACGCTCCTTGTACGGCATCACCCTCGTTGATCTTCACCGCATGGAGTTGTCGCTCGAGCACCACCACCATAGCTTCGCTGCTGGGGGCATGGACATCCTTCAATATCTTCCATGCCTTAGGACCACACTCAACTTCCTTGATGAGATGCTTGATGTGGTGCAGCTGGTTGGATGAGAGGCATTGGGAGAGAAGGAAGAATCCATCCTTGGACCGGCGATCCCATTCTTTGGTCGCTCCTTCGCTCGCAGGCCTCTTCAATTCTCCATCCATCACTTCAAGCAGCCCATAATGGTTGAAGAAGAGCTCCATCCTGAAGCTCCATGATGCCCAATCCTCCCCAGAGAACTTCTCCAGGTTGAATGCCTTCACATCATCTTTAGCTGATGTTGAAACGGAAGCCATTGGTGCAGATCCGCCTGCAACGCCTCTTCCCGCTTCCCCAACGCCTCTCACGCCACCACTGCCACTGGGACCAGCTGGAGCAGAACCTTCAGCCTCCATATTCACCCACGAACAGAGTAGAACAGCTCTGATACCACTTGTTATAGTCAAGTGTCCACTTAGAGGTCGCGGATGCCCATGAAACCGCCTAAGCAGAATCTGACGTCTTCAAACCGCCTCTGTTCAAAACGCCGTCACGATCAGCTCCGATAACACATGAGGCTGAAACTTGGACAGCAGTTAGCCTTAAGTGTCTGCTTTCCAACGGTGTATTGCTTGCTTTCACCGGAGGTGTATGCGCTACGCTATGAACGAAAACGTAAGCTCGGCTGAAAAACGTGTATTCTCATTGATGCAAGGAAGAGGTGAGGTACAACATTGCCTAGGGGACTCTTAAGGGGTTGGGATCATCCTGGGAACTCAGAGAAGGTTGAGTCCTAGGGGAGAAAGGCTAGAGAAGGATGGGAAACGTCCTAGCTAGGTCAGCAAATCCAACCACACATGGATGTTCAGAGCTGTACTCAAGGCAACCAATTGTGAGTTAAGCCAACCATGAGTCAGCTTGTCTTCCCACTTGCACCCTCTTGCAAGCTGGTTCCAGGAAGACCACACTTCTAAAAAGGAGAGCTGTAGAGTCCCACTTGACCACCTGTACTTCTTGTCTCATTCTCTGTCCCTGCACCATTGGCATGACAACAATGAAAGGGTGGCAAGGGAAATGCTGCCAACGGTGCACCATGACTACGGAACAGTGAATTTCGGCAGCTGTCACGCAATGCTCAGATGTTGCATCGTTCTGAAACTTGGTGACCACCTGAACAGCGGGGCAAAGGACTACCAGACCGAATTTCAGACCAATCAGAGCTTGGTAGACGATTCAGCAGCCGAAATGGTGAACTCGGGTGTTACCAAAAAGGAGTAACACACACTTCCGGGATGCCAAAAGTCTTGAAACATAAAATGTTGTCATGCCTTGGTAACCGCTTCAAAAACTCTGAAACTTGAGGGTTTGAAGAACACATGTTGAACAACCTCCCAGAAGCTGAGCAGGCTTGTAGGCCGAATGGGAGTGCGATGACCGTGCCACTGTAATGTGTTGGCACAACACACAATTCCCAGCTCATGCTTGCTGCTGCCTGCTGCTCCCCGTGTCGCATTTGTTCTTTGGCCTCAGTGGTCTCCCAGCCTCTCCTGCCCAGCTATCCCCCGCCCCGCATTTCTCAGTCCAACCACCTTCACACTCTTGTCCTTGAACATACATACCCAACCGCACAACCTCCCCTCTCACTCTTTCCCCATTTCTCCCTTCCATCTCCCCCCTCACCCCATTCCCCCCCATCCCCCCATCCCCCTCTCTGTCCCTCCCCCGTGCAGCAAGGAGGGGTTCTGGCCGTCAGTGGTGGTGCCGTCAGCAAGCACGAGTGCAGTGGCGTATGGGGAGCACACAGGGCTGTCAGGCAACCTGCGCTACCAGCTGCTGTACGGACTTGACCGCATGCTGCTGCAGCACTTCAACCACATCTCCGTGGCTGTCCTCGGCACCACTGCTCTCAGGTGGGTGGGCGTCTCAGGTTGCAGGCATCAAACACAAAAAGGGGGGAGGGTGGGGCTACACATGCATAGGGTGCTCGGGCTATGCACAGGGCTGCTGTGGTGGGGTTAGAAGTTAACACGAGGCTGTCAGGCAACTTGCACTGCAGTAGCACTTGAACTACATCCCCGAGTGGGCTTCTCCAGTTACACACACATGGGTCACTCGGGCTGCCTACAGGGCTGTTTGGGGGGCTGCATCACAGGGATGTGGGATTGAACTCGGGGATGTTGAGCAACCAACTTGTGGGCAGTGGGAGGGAGGTAACCAGTTATGCGATTTTCTGCAGGCACATTTACATTGCCGTGGACCACCAAGAGGTTCTATGACCTGATATTAGTGAGTCGTCTCTGAGATTGTCTTGCGTTGTCATGCATGATGTTATCATGTGCAGGTGCAGCAATGTTCTATTGGGCAAGCCGTATGTGGCTGGGGATGGACGGCGAGGTGCAGCAACAGGCCAAGGCAGAGCAGCAGGCATACCGCCGCCCGTCCCGCTCCTCCGGTGCCGACTCCAAGACAAACTCGTTCCTGCAATCACTTCCCTTTGGCAAGATAACAGATGAAGCACAGCCTAAAAAGAAGAATGCTGCTAGGAGAGTCACTAAGGCTACGGCTGCAGGAGGGGCGGAGACCGGGGCTGAGGCGGGTGTGACGAGTGCAGAGGGGGCGGAGGAGAAGGTGCAAGGGATGGGAGGTACAGCAGCTCGCACGACAGAGCGCAAGGTGAAGCGGAAGGTGTCAATTGCTCAATAGTATTGTTGTACTGTTGATGAATATTATTACAGCATTGCCTGATTTTCTCTATGTTATGGAAATCTAATATGTTTCGTGTGCAATTCAAATCTGGACTGAACTTAACTAAATATTCTCCATAGTATTGAAAAATGCTGAGAAAGTGGCACCAGCGATAATCTTAAACAAGAGAGATAGTTCCATGCACTCGTAAAAGGTACTGCAAGAAATTGCACTACAGCGCAAGCCCGAACCTCATGCAGCGTGCCCCAAAGGGACTACAACAAGTGCAGACTGATGTGAAGGTCAGCAGCAACGCTCAGTGACCTCCCATAAGCAAACATGATAGCCAGGAGACCAAGCCAGCAAGCAGGCACGATTACACACGTGCTCGACGGAATTACCACAAGTGCAGCCCTAAGCCCTGATATTATTAACCTTGATCGGAATGGCCACCTTCACCTTAAAGTGATCGCAGAAGTATGATGTAGAGCTGAAGTACAGGGTATAGTCCTTGGGTCTCCCTTTCACGAAATACCTGAAAGGGAGACAACAGGCAAGTTGGATAGGTAGGTGCAAGAACATTGAATGCAGATAGAAAGTAAAAATAAGCAGACCTATTTCCCCTGTTCACTAGGACGCTCGGGGCAGATGGGTCATATTGTTAAAGAGGTAGCTTGGGTTGTATAAAGCACGGCCTATCATATTAACCAAAGCACTCGCTTAGGATCAAGTGTGGTGCTCACCTGTATGTGCCAGAATTGGCCACGTTTGCCAGCTGCTTAGCCGTCACAGTGTTGCAGGTACGGTACGCCGTGGCCTGGTCATACTGCCACACGCCATGCCTGTGAACCTTACTGAAAGCCCACTTGAACACTGCCATGGGATGCACAGGACAACGGGGGATACAGGATGCACTTTAAGTCAAGGTCTAATGCTTCGGGACGTTGAATCTAGGAGCAACAGCAGAACTGGGCAGAACCACGAGCAAGGGAAGTGGCACGAGCAGCGGCGGGTTTGAGAGGCACGCACCGAGCACGTCGCCTACACGCGCGGGCGGATTGGGCTTCCAGTTCCCCACATTATTCGACCACCCCGTGTTGCCCCCCACCATGATGTCCCGTGCCTGTGCACGCGGGGCAGCATGAATAGAGGGTAGACGGAGGAGTGAGATGCGGAGGAGTGGGATGCGGTGTGGGATGAGAAGCATTATGCGCAATGCGGGGAGGCAGCACGAAGCGTTATGTGCAGCAAAAAGCCAAGGCTGCGCAAAAGGATGGGCGAGAAATTGCAGCAGAACAGCGCAAGGGGGTACAAGAGAGATGAGGTGCGGGCAGGAGAGCCGAGAGGAGAGAGGCGTTTACCTCGGCGTGGGTTGCGGCTGAGAGGGAGACGATTGCACGCGATGCGGTAAGGCGCGGCAGGCAAATGGGAGAGGAAGGAGGGGGAGAGGCATGGGGAATGGAAAATAAGAACAGGAACAGAGAGAAACACAAGGGGGAGTGAAGGGAGAGCGACACCATGATGAGAACGTAAGAACGTCAGATTGATTAGAACGAGCAGAGGATAAGAGCAAGGGAGAAAAAGAAACCAAGCATCAAACTCCGGCTTTGCTAGAGCATGGAGCACGCGGAGCGGAGTTAATCACGGGAGTGGGGCGTACCAAGCAGGACGAGGAGGGCAGCAGCCGCAAGGGAGATTGAGGAGAACGAGCGAGCCATGGCGACGAACGGCGGCGACGAGTCGTTACTACAAGGCAGGGCGCCACGCCCGATGAAGAATGCAGTGTGAAGTGAAGACGAGGATAGCACATATGGACGAGGAGGAGACGTGCAACGTTTATATTTTCGATTCTCATCGTCATGACACGCCGCTGGTGGTTTTTTGGTCTTTTGGGTGAACCCGCCGTGCCGTCAGTTACTGGGAAGGGAAAAGGTGGCTGCGAGTCTTTTTTTTGGGGGGGGGGGGCATGTGGTAACACGAGGGCCGCTGGTGGTGGTGGTGGTGGTGGCACGATGCACCTGCTGCCGCGAGTTACTGGGAAGGGAAAAGGTGGCTGCGCGTTTCTGAGCTAACACAGGGATACAACGGATAAGCTACAGCCCAACCCCGCTTAGATTGACGCTCGTTTCTGAGGTTGACATGAGGAGTGAACGGAGCAGCCTCAGGCCAACCCTGCTTAGGCGGCAGCGCGCGTTTCCGACTCTGAGAAGTGTCCCAAACCATAGTAGGGAAGGAGGGACTTGGTGGGGAGGGGGGGGTAGGTGGAGGCATTTTCTGTGCGACGCAGTTACATGCTACTCGCTGCTCCTCGTATGAACGATGCTTGCCGAACCTACCAAAATACTGTAGAGACTTGCGACGCGACAATGGACAGCTTACGTAGGTGTGTGGCGAGGTGTGTGACGTAGGTTCTGAAAAGCCTACGTTGGCATCTCACAGCAGAAGGTGCAGGTTGAGGGTAGGTCGAGTGTAGGTGCGCGGTAAGTTGCCGCAACCCTGAGGGTTTGTTGAGCGCAGGTTGAGCGGAGGTTTAGAAGTTGACGCGCAACCAGCCCGAGGTTCGAGCTTGATGTTGCGGAACATAGCTTTCCAGCTAGCCAATCCGAACCTCCCGAGCCTGTCTAGGCCGAGCTTTGAACCAGCCTCGTGTATCATTTGTAAAATGCTCTACAACTTGTTAAGTTATTATTTGCCATCAGTATAGTGTTTTGTTAACTAAACTCACTTGATACCTTTTGTAAGGAAAATTCCCTCTCCTTACGCCGCATCCTTGCTTAGCGCGTACATTACTATTCTCGCCACACCGTGCACCGTCAGAGCAAAACTCGCCTCGACCACATTCCCGCCACTACACTTGTCGCAACCCGACCACATGGCTTGGCTGGTAACCCGCGCTACGGGCCTCCGCTTCAACATTTCCCGACCTCAGTCCCAACCTCAATCACAGGCCCGTCGCGCACCTCCCACAGTTCGTTACCGTTACCACTGTGGGACTTCGCTATGTAGTTCTCGCTCATGCATTCACTCAATGAATTGTTTTGCTTTGATAGTGCAATTCTCACTCGCTCGCTCAATTGCACTCGTAGCACTTGGTATTCATAGCCTACGATCTCCTTTCGGACCGCACCCACACCTTCGCTTTCCCACTATCTCTTTTTTTGGAGGGGGTGGACGGTTTTCAGCGAACAAGCACATGCACGGCTACGAATGAGGCTCTCGCTGAGCTCACACGATACCCCCGCCATGGCCGAATTTATCGCGACATTGACGCAGGTGCAGCTCGACCGACTCGTGCGCCAACTCGAAGGTTCGGCGCTCGAAATCGCGACACTCACGGTGGAACTCAACTCCGCCCAGCAGCAATCAACAACGAATGCACCTACACCAACACAGACGCCTGAAAACACACCTACACAAATAAATGAGCTGATCATCATCTCGTCCGGCACACCGTCACATCACGACAGCGTGGGACAACGCTCGGGCGCAGCCAGTGATGGCGCCGACCAGTCGATGCCTAGCATGGCGAGAACCAGGGCTGTTTTGACCGTATATGCATCTCGCGAAGCTCGTCGTTACGTTGGATTTGCGGCGTCCGCGGGCAACGACGACATTGGCGAGCCGATGCCACTCAAACTGCAATGACCGCCCTGCATCGACCCCAGCCAACGCAAAGGTCCGGCGGTTTAGTCATGGGTCTTCATGCTTAACGTCTTCTTTTATGCTAATTACGTCATCTCGGACACAGAGAAGATCAGATACGCGGTTTCGCCGTTACGGGGCCCCATCATGGACAGGTGGCGAGTTATTGTAACATCGCCACGCGCCTACGAGCCGCCGTCGCAAGGGGAAGAGCCCACGGGGCCAGCCGTTACCTGAAGTTCGTTCTCCTAAACCGCCCGGTACAGCACGTGGGATGCATGGTGCGCGGGGATTCGAGCGCGCTTCGAGCCGATCTCAGCTTCAATTTCAAGGCGTCAGAAACTGCGCACTTGGCAGCAACTCGGGTCAGTTCAAAATTACACCATCGATTTTCTCGCTCTGTATGAGCAAGTCGGCTACATGCACGAGGCGGAGCGGGTGGTCCGTTACGTCGGCGAACTGAAGCAGGACATCTCGCACGAGATCATGCTACGCGGGCTATCTAACTTCAACGAAATCATCGCACTCGTCTAGAAAATCGATATTTTGCGCCATCCAAGACGGGGGTCCTACTACGGATGTCGTCATCGGGGACCAAGCGAGCACGCCACCGTAAACGCCGTTGCGGCATATGCAACTGCTGCGCCATTCAAGGGGCGCGGCTTTGCTTGCAATAATCCGGGGCATCGCAAGAGCGAATGCCTAGAGGAACTAAGGCGCCGAGGAGCAGATCAAGGGAGGGAGTTTTAGAGGCAGTGAATCGCCAGCAGTTAGTAGAAAACAGGCCCCCTACTGACAAGACTAACTACTTGCCCGACCACACCAACCCTCACCGAGTCATAGTACCGATTCACGCTATCGATCGAGCTCGAATAATAAGGAGGGTACTGCAACGGATTGCCCAATACTGATTCACGGGAAAATACAGGGGGTAGCAGTGAAGATTTTTATAGACGGAGTAGCAAGTCACAGTTTAGTTAATACCTCAACCCCACAAAAACTACAACTGGCACTTAGCCGCTACTTACCGGAGATCGATGCACGCTTGGTTGACGGCACGCCACTGGCCATACGGGAGAAGATGGAGAGAGTAAAAGTCCGCTGCGCGGGAAACTTTGGGTTTATACAGGAAATGCTCGCGACAACATTGGATGGGCACAACATTTTACTGGGACGTGATTGGCTGTGACGCTACAACCAGCGAATTGACTGGACGACGGGCAGCTACACTGTGCGAAGTAGTGTTAATTGGGTCGAACTACCTCACTGGCAGTCGCCTAAGTCTTCAGCAGTCCACGTCAACGCCATCACGATGAAACAGGCTATCGCCATTGGAGCTGACGTGCATGCAGTGGACATCGCAGTAGTGGAAGAAG